CCCTCTCTCGAGTGAGAGAGCAGAAACGTCGATCTGGAACCGGCACGCTTCGTCGTTACGAATTTTGTCGTCTGCCGAACTGTCATCCACACTGACTTTGACGACCTCAAAGCAGGCGAGATTACCCGCTGAAATAGCATATTACTAAGCGGAGGAAAGAAACCAGAATTTCTCTAGTAGCGGCGGACGAACAGGAAAGAGTCCAGCACCATATCCTACCGTAGAGAATATAATGTTTGGGAGGGTCCGCTTATCCCGAGGTGTCGCGTCGCGTCCAAATCCGAACGGAGAGATTCATCGTCAGCGACGCTGGCTTTGTGTATGCGATGTCCCGTGCAGCCCTCGCGATTCACGCGCGGGCACGCCGCCGATGTCCGGCGTTCATAATCGTGCACTTCTCCCCTAGTAGAACATCGCGCTGGGTGTCGGTCTATTGGATGCGGCGGCTGTCGCGTCGCCGGTAAAACGGCACGCGTTAAACCTTCGGTCGCCCGGCTGGCTGTCCGGCGGTATGCGCAAGGTATCAGGCACACTTCACAAACGAGACTAGTGCGTCGAGGCCGTCGCAAGCGCGCGCCACGGTACACGGAGGCAATGGACCTAGCGTCGTCACCGTGCCTGGTCCGCTGCTAGTCATACGGTTAACCTTCAACAGGCCTGCCAACGTGGGGACTCTGCTCCCGGCGAGATCGATATCGGTCGTTACTGCTTTGGGTACTCTTAAGACCCGTCTTGAAACACGGATTAAGGAGTCTAATACATACGTGAGTCATTAGGACTAACGATATCTAAAGGCGTAATGAAAGTGAAGATTGGCCCTGGTTGTTGGCCGAGGGAGAATAGGTCGCGTCGCGACGCGGCTCCGCACTCCCAGGATGTCTCATCGAGAAGAGACGCACCCGGAAGTTGATGAACTATGCCTGGTCAGGATGAAGTCACGGGAAAAAACTTTGATGGAAGTCCGTAGCAATTCTGACGTGCAAATCGAGGAACTGGGTATAGGGGCGAAAGAATAATCGAACCATCTAGCTGGTTCCCTCCGAAGTTTCCCTCAGGATAGTTGGCACTTGGCCGTTCCGCACAAAATGCGCGCGAGTCTCATTTGGTAAAGCGAATGATTAGAGGCCTTGAGGCCGAAACGACCTCAATCTATTCTCAAACTTTAAATGGGTGAGATCTCTGACTTTCTTGAATTATGATGTCACGAGCATCTTGGATCTGAGTGCCAAGTGGACCATTTTTGGTAAGCAGGACTGGCGCTATGAGATGAACCAAATGCAGAGTTAAGATGCCCAACTCAAGGTTCATGGGACACCATGAAAGGCGTTAGTTGCTTAAGATAGCAGGACGGTGACCATGGAAGTCGGAATCCGTTAAGGAGTGTGTAATAACTCACCTGCCGAAGCAACTAGCCTCGAAAATGGCTGAAGCTTCGAGCCTATATTCTGCCATCAGCGGTCAAATGAGGCGTTTGTGCGTTGTTGCACGCGCCGCCACGAAGCCCTGATGAGTAGGAGGATCGCGATGGTTTGCGCAGAAGGGTCTGGGCGCCTGTCTGGAAACGCCATCGGTACAGATCTTGGTGGTAGTAATAAATATTCCAGCGAGGCCTTAGAGGACTGATGTGGAGAAGGATTTCATGTGAACAATCGTTGCACACGAGTCAGTCGATCCTAAGCCTTAGGAGAAATCCTATGTCAATGATGGCGTGCGATACTCTAGTGTCCATACATAAAGTGCATACAGAAATAAAATGATAATGTAGATAATGCTGAGTGAGAGGCACGCCCGTCGGGTGAAAGGAAATTCGATTCCTATTTCGGAATTCGGCAGCGGAACCGCATACAATTCGGGCCCTCGTAAGAGTGTTCGTCGGCGTAACCCAAAATGACCTGGAGACGCCGTCGGGAGCTCCGGGAAGAGTTTTCTTTTCTGTGTAAGCGTTCGAGTTCCCTGAAAACCTCTAGCGCGGAGATAGGGTTTGGAACGCGAAGAGCGCCACAGTTGCGGCGGTGTTCAGATCTTCCCTTCGGACCTTGAAAATCTAGAAGAGAGTCACGTGAAGGTGTCGCGTCGGTTCGTACCCATATCTGTAGCAGGTCTTCAAGATGAAGAGCCTCTAGTTGATAGACTAATGTAGGTAAGGGAAGAGGTTGGCAAATTGGATCCGTAACTTCGGAATAAAGATTGGCACTGATGAGCGCGGCGTGTCAGGCTTGGTCAAAAAGCGGATCTGGCTGACGTGCCGGGCCTAAGCGAGGTGAACGCTCGTCGTTCTCGTGCCGGTTCCGAGATCCGAGCTCAGTCTCATGTCTTGGCCTCTCGCGGATCTTCCTTGCTGCGAGGCTTCCGTGGCGGCACGAGCCGTTGTGGTCGTCATCTTCGGCCGCCATTCAATGCTCAGAACTGGCACAGACTAAGAGAATCCGACTGTCTAATTAAAACAAAGCATTGTGACGGCCCGCGCGGGTGTTGACGCAATGTGATTTCTGCCCAATGCTCTCAATGTCAACGTAAAGAAATTCAAGCAAGCGCGGGTAAACGGGAGTAACTATTTCTTAAAGGACTCTCTTAAAGGAGTAACTCTATTTGAGAGTAAGTATGACTCTCTTCGACACCTGATCGCCACTGTCTGAACTTAAACATTGTGTCTGGAACTATTCTGGATTGAATACACTATACTGGCAACCCAATCGGGGCAGGAGTTAACTGGAGATCACAGGTTCTCCGATTTTTCTTGAGTTCTCATTCTAGGCGTTCACGTCTATACTGCAAGCAGCCCAATGGTGACTTAAAGTAGCCTGAGAGTAAGAATGTACTCTCACCGGAGGAAACGTACCCGTGCAAGGTTTGACAGCTATTCTGGCTTTACGAAAGCCAGTGCGGTGGGATATTGTCGTTCAGAATTGTGATTCCTAGCGGTCTGAAAACCACGTTATGCTTGTGCTCTTTGACATTCGGACATGTGTTGTGAAAAAGCATAGTCGGGATCGTGATGCGTAATATAGACCTTTCGTTAGATCCTTGAGCCTCTCATCAAGTCACACAACCACCTTCTCGTACTCCTGGTACTCCTAGACGCATTGCGTAGAGTGGCTGAATGTTGTTGTGGCGATATTGTGGACTGCCAATC